CAACTCCCTGGGGAGTATACAACTCTTGCAGCCACTAGGCGCTCCGAGTTAGTGTGGCCTTATCATCCTAACGAGGTACCCATTCACAGCTGGGTGGACTGGGACATACAGTCTGTGGCCACCATCTGGTCATATACCAACGGATTCGTGGGTTCTTTTAAGTGCACAAGGTTGTGTACTGCAGGGCCCGGTTGTTCAAAACTCGGTTATCTTAACACTCGGATAACTCTTAACCGACTGTTAAATCCTTAACCCGCCGTTAGCTAACCGAACGTTAAAAGAGCGTTGCACAGTCCATGTTTAACACTGCCGTTTACTAACGTATCCTCAACCACTTGGAGAAAACTCCCACTCGCATAAAATCGGAAGGCAATTAAAACTTGTTGCTCAAGTGTAAGTGTCCGCGATTTGTTGGTCTTTTAAGATCGTCTCTTAAAGTATCCACCAAATACTCGATAGACCTCCTTCCAAACCTGTAACGCAGACGCAGTTCTCTGTCCGAATAGCCTAGAATGTTTAAATCGTAAGCTCTATAAACTTTCTCTTGTCCTTGGTTCTTTAACGGCACCATGAACGCAGCATTCGGTTGAATGATCAACGCCATCTTGCCGATGTTAAACAACCCGGTTAACTATTTAGCGGCGGTCCGTAGGTGTGATAACTTTAACGCCAAGATAACGACGGGTTAAAGATAACCGGGTTTTGAGAAACGCTTTAACCACTTGGTTAACTTTAACGGCCGGTTAAGAGTATTTAACCAGTGGTTAAAAGATAACCGAGTTTTGAACAACCGGGCCCTGTACATTAGGGATTGTGACAACACTGAAAGAGTCTGCACACAAAGTTCACTCCACGGCTTTTACACCCGGTCACAGGTGGACACGATCCCGACACCTCAACCTGGCTGGATCACTAGCCTGGCGCCTTGGCCAGCTCGCCCACCGCGCCCCCCTAAAGTAGTACTTGTGAAGACTTGAAAGTAGACAAGTGCTCCAGTATGAAAGTGCCCCAATGTAGCAACCTGACTCAGTTCTACGTATACGGTGGTAAAATGTGGAATCCGATTTCGTAAATTTTAAGTAAGATTTAAATAAGAATTTTGCTATATCGGTGCTAAGATCGCACCCTCAGAACATGTACATGAAAACGATAGTTAACCGCTGGTACAAAGTACATTTGGTAACCAGCTCAGGACAAAAATAAATAGATTCTATGTCAAGATATAGCAACATCTTAAAATGGTTAGCCATCTTTCTGAAAAAGCATTTGTTTTGCAAATGATATTCTCATGCTTAATAGAATATGCTATAAACCACATATCACCATGCACTGTGTTTAATTGTACCCTGGTCCACGAGACCTCAAACATTGAATAAACTGTTAGTCCGTCCGTCATACCATTTGGAATAATTTGGACAGTTTACTTGCTTAACGTTTTTAAATGTTAGAAGTAAAATGTTTCCATTACATTTCCGCAGATAGAAATGATTAGGAAATTGTACAATTTCAAATGTTTTGCACACTTTTGGTGTACATGAGATAAAATTTGCAACTGTGCGCATGGCTATTTAGAGAAACACACACCAAACAAATGAGTTGTGCGCCTTTGTGTGTCCTTTCAAAACCATATATAGGCAGAAATGCTCAATCAAACCGGAAGAAATATATTGGAAATATAAGGACATTTAACTAATTGCTTTTGCGAGAGCTCGGCATCACGACAGAGTCTGTATATAAAGTCACAGCTCATTAACCTGGACAAAGTACACCAGCGGGGAACATTTAATTGTTTGTGGCCACTTGAAGTTTACTCTAAACTTATTTGCAACTTTGCAACTATTTTTCTTTAAATGCAAACTTTAAGTGTTTGTTTTGTTTGTTGTTTAACGCCGCAATCAGCAATAGCGTTTTGTCGGCGGAAACATTAAGAGCTTACTTTTATTGACAACTCAAAGACATACCCAGTCTAAGTAAACTTAGGCTCAGCATTATTCGTTACACTGCTATGCAGAGACTCAGTATAAGCAGTGTAACGAGTAATACTGAGCCTAAGTTTACTTAGAATGAAGATATACCCAGATAATATTTGAATTAGCAGTTTGCCAGTGATATAGCGTTCACATAATTTGCAGGCTTCCGTTTTAGAATAACAATTGATATTCACGATTTTATTAAGTTATGGGTTTTTTTCATTTTTCAACATGCGAATGTAACTAGGAGATTAGGGTTTTAGAATTCGTGTCCCTCCTTGTACGAGCCATATCCGCTCTGCATCACTGGGCCGTTAGACATGCCAGTAATCTGGCTAATAGAACCCCATTATCTTCCCTTCAACGAAACCCTTTCTGCAATGCAAAAGTCCAAAGTGAAGCAAGTCTAGACTTGCTATGAATCTGAATCTCCGAGCTCAGTTCAGGGACTAGTTACTTTCAGGGGGAGACAAGAGTTTTGCCTGCTGTCGACACACGCCAGCAGAAAGACAACAAGCTTGTAAAACAGAGTGAACTTGACATGATGACTTATTTTGCGATTTTCAATCCTGAACAACCAAACCACTCTTAGGTTGACAAAACCAACATCACTTTTTCAAAATTGCTATATTCAAAACGTCAAATAAGGAACAAACTTTATGGATGAACAACTTCTTTATTCGGAAGATACAAAACGTCGCATCTTCCGAATAAAGAACTTGTTCATCCATAAAGTTTGTTCCTTATCTGATTCACCAACTTCTAAACATGCCACTCAAAGAAGTTAAAATGTAGAAAAACACAGCTCTAAGTACCTACTAGCAATGTAGCTTCTAGCAGGTTGCAACACAAATATTTGTACGGATCTTTTGTTCTTTACTGAATGCAGGGTCCTGTATTCAAGAACATACTGCATTGAATAATGCACGGAAACATCTCGCGTATTGCAATGATGTCGTCGGTTAACCTCCAGTAAACCAGGAGAGAGTAATAATATATGGCATAACCTAAAACACTATCAAACCCCAATATGAATAACAACATTCAACTAAACGCATGGCGTGTCAAATTAAATCTGGAGCCCTTTTCTCCCACTTACATTTTGTCTAAAGTACTGACAACGGAAGTGATTAAGCTGGTGATCAAGTGGAAACGTGTCAGCTTGCATAACAATGATATGCTTTGCCAGGCCCACATGGGTAGAAGCTTAATGAAGTCATAAGAACCTTGGCGTTAAAGCATTTGTGAAAATAACACAATGCGAACACAGTATATCACATAGAAGAACATTCTGTGATCAGCTTGTTTTAGTACTGATATAGTGAATATAGAAATACTGTTCAATACATTCCCATGATATCGGGAAGGATACATACGTTTCTGAGGCTTGAAAACATTTGAACATTTCAAAATTTACAAATTTTTACCGACCTAAAGAAATATTCATATTACCAACCCAAGTATACTTTGATAAGATTTGGAAAGCATCTATTACAATTGAAAGGAATCTATTGGAAATGTCTACAAATCCGGTCATGAAAAAAGTGCTTTCGCAAACGGCACTATACGCTGAGCATATGATTCAAAGATGCAGCTTCATATGAAGTAAGCGTCAGGAAATACCGGGAAACGTACGCAAGTCCGGTCTTAGCATGTATTTCCTTCAGTATTTACGTTCATTTCAATAGTGTTCTGACCCCGTAAACATGGGGTGCGCGCCCTTTTATATCAAGTGACATATTCTCGACATATATTGACATTGGTCAGGTCACATTTTTGCACACCTGTCTTGATCCGTGGTCATTACTTGGTCGAGGACCGCCTCCGTGGTGTAGTGGTTAGAGCGTCCGCCCGGGGAGCGGAAGGTCGCGGGTTCGATCTCCGACCGCGTCATACCAAAAGACGTTAAAATATGGTACTTGTTGCGTCCCTGCCTGGCGCTTGGCATTAATGGGTACAACAAGGACTGGTCGGCTCGGAGTCAGTAAAATGTGTCTGAGTGGGGTATTCATGCTTCACTGCGGCATGGTAACTCAGTGGGCTAGCACTATAAAACCAGCTAAAGTCTGGGCTAGTACAAGCAGCCGCACATACACATACACACACATGCCCGTCGTCATATGAGCGAAATATTCTCAAGCACGACGTTAAACCAAATTTCACCTCACCTCAATAGTGTTCTATGAGGTTTCTAATGACGAGCAGGGAGCCAATTGCAGTCTGAGAATAGAAACACAATATCAAACGACTGAAGGTAAGCAATAACGTCACAATCGTCACACATTTTATGAACAACGACAACAATGACAAATTTTTATCGTTACCAAAGCTTGAGTTAATTTCCACTTTGTGTGAAAGATTCTGGCCCTGGGCGGATTGTTATCCTATGGTAGCCACCAAGCTGTGAGAGAACTTCTTAAATGTCGTAATGATTAGTTAAAACTATTCGACCAGGCCTCTATCGGGTTTGACCCCGCGAAGTATCTCTTGTTCCAAGGTACGAGAACACAACAGAAACTGCACCAGTGCACACAATTTCAAAATGATCGCATTCGTGGTGTTCCAATTGTGAATATCCCTTTCATATCTGGTAGTAGACCACCAGCTCCGGGATCCGGCTAAGGTCATCTGCATTTCTCAATTGCCTAGCTACTCTAGGGAATGTAAGTTATATTAAGCCTTTTTCAGATAGAAATATTTTCCTTACAATTAAGCTTTTTAAGGTTTTACCGTTAATCGAATGGTTAAGTCATAGTAGGACGGTGAACAAAATATGCCACGTCGCTTGTAGAAATGGTGCGCAATGCTAATGCATGCCATGACTTTAAGCGTACACGGAGCCTTTCCCAGACAAGCTTCCCATTTCCCCGAACACCTGAAGAAAACTATGATTTTTTAGACAATAATGTTTTGCAGCACAAGTTTCCCCTGGGGTCCTCTTTATGTGGCCGATACTCGAGACAGAGTCTTCTGTTGCGTTGACGTTTTGAATTGACTGTAGTATACACACACGTTCCTTCATCCACTTACCCGAAATGATATTTCCACATTCTCAGCTCCCCAGAACGACATCCCATCATCATACGTTCCAATATGAAAGAAGAAGTCCCTATCTATTGCAAACAGTCCTCCTGGCATGGTAGGACTCCTGAATAAAAAAGACCATCCGCGATTATTCGATCTTCCCTTTTAAAAAGTACGAATACTACTTACATACCACAGATGTATTTCGACGTTTACAAATATATAACATATTTAAACACGTTTTATCTTACAATAAAATTTGTCTGCAAGTGTATCAAACGCACTTTCTGGAATTCCATGTGCCTTCGGAGAAGGACGCCTATGTATCCTGGCATCCATTACACAATTTCTCACATATCGATTGTGTTTAAATGCAAAATATATCTCAAGAGGTGGACATGGGCAAATGCACTTTCACATACCTGGCGAAGAGGTATTTTCTACTGATTTCCCTTGGAAAGAGGTACTTTCTACGCACATCACTGGGAAAAAGGTACTTTCTACACACATCACTGGGAAAGAGGTACTTTCTACAGAGATCCCTGGGACAGAGGTACTTTCTACTGATATCCCTGGGACAGAGGTACTTTCTACACACATTCCTGGGACAGAGGTACTTTCTACTGATATCCCTGGGACAGAGGTACTTTCTACTGATATCCCTGGGACAGAGGTACTTTCTACACACATCCCCGGGACAGAGGGAATTGTCACAGACATTCCTGGGACAGAGGTACAAGAGGTACAAGCAATACTGGGCCGTATTTCACATAAATAAACGTGTACGTACTTTACCGGGGAGATGGGTGTTGCTCTGTCCTCAAGACGAGGAGTTTCCCAAGTGTATACCAACGACCAGGTAAATATTCCAACTTGAAGAACTTTAGCATCAACATTTGTCTTGAAGGCAAACGTTTTGCGATCAATTCCGGGTATGGCAGGCCAGACAACTCTTGTTGAATTCATACGTATTCTCATCAGCAGGGGAGGTAACCAGTCTGGTGTAAAAAAAGCAAAAGGTTTTATTAACAGAAAATTCAGTTCAAAGAAAGGCACAAAAATAGCATTCGTCTGTGATCACTTGGTGAAGGCGCTGTCTAAACGAAAATACTGACTGGATTGTGATATGTTTGGTGTTCTCAATAATTTTTTCAAGCTTTGATCATATTACGATCTTGATGTTAACAACGACTGGTAGCCGCCAATAAATTAATAATATCAGGGGCAGTAACTTCCTGCAAACATTAATATCAGCGGCAGTAACTTCGTGCAAACATTAATATCAGCGGCAGTAACTTTCTGCAAACATTAATATCAGCGGCAGTGACTTCCTGCAAACATTAATATTAGCGGCAGTAACTCCACGATAAACTTAATATCAGCGGCAGTAACTTCCTGCAAACATTAATATCAGCGGCAGTAACTTCCTGCAAACATTAATATCAGCGGCAGTAACTTCCTGCAAACATTAATATCAGCGGCAGTAACTTCCTGCAAACATTAATATCAGCGGCAGTGACTTCCTGCAAACATTTATATTAGCGGCAGTAACTCCACGATAAACTTAAAATCAGCGGCAGTAACTTCCTGCAAACATTAATATCAGCGGCAGTAACTTCCTGCAAACATTAATATCAGCGGCAGTAACTTCCTGCAAACATTAATATCAGCGGCAGTAACTTCCTGCAAACATCAATATCAGCGGCAGTAACTTCCTGCAAACATTAATATCAGCGGCAGTAACTTCCTGCAAACATCAATATCAGCGGCAGTGACTTCCTGCAAACATTAATATCAGCGGCAGTAACTTCCTGCAAACATTAATATCAGCGGCAGTGACTTCCTGCAAACATTAATATCAGCGGCAGTAACTTCCTGCAAACATTAATATCAGCGGCAGTGACTTCCTGCAAACATTAATATCAGCGGCAGTAACTTCCTGCAAACATCAATATCAGCGGCAGTAACTTCCTGCAAACATTAATATCAGCGGCAGTAACTTCCTGCAAACATTAATATCAGCGGCAGTAACTTCCTGCAAACATCAATATCAGCGGCAGTGACTTCCTGCAAACATTAATATCAGCGGCAGTAACTTCCTGCAAACATCAATATCAGCGGCAGTGACTTCCTGCAAACATTAATATTAGCGGCAGTAACTTCCTGCAAACATCAATATCAGCGGCAGTGACTTCCTGCAAACATTAATATTAGCGGCAGTAACTTCCTGCAAACATTAATATCAGCGGCAGTAACTTCCTGCAAACAATAATATCAGCGGCAGTAACTTCCTGCAAACATTAATATCAGCGGCAGTAACTTCCTGCAAACATCAATATCAGCGGCAGTAACTTCCTGCAAACATTAATATCAGCGGCAGTAACTTCCTGCAAACATTAATATCAGCGGCAGTAACTTCCTGCAAACATTAATATCAGCGGCAGTAACTTCCTGAAAACATCAATATCAGCGGCAGTGACTTCCTGCAAACATTAATATTAGCGGCAGTAACTTCCTGCAAACATCAATATCAGCGGCAGTAACTTCCTGCAAACATTAATCTCAGCGGCAGTAACTTCCTGCAAACATTAATATCAGCGGCAGTAACTTCCTGCAAACATCAATATCAGCGGCAGTGACTTCCTGCAAACATTAATATTAGCGGCAGTAACTCCACGATAAACTTAATATCAGCGGGTTTAACTTCATGAAAGCATTTGGTTCAGCAGATTCACTTGTGGAACAGGGATGCTAATGAAAACCATGGCTAACACATACGCACACTTAACCGATCTTTGAAACTGAGTACAAAGTTCATAATGCGCTAAAGTTATTATGCCTTTACTTGCATGTGACATGTAACTGTTGGTCTTGATTCGTTTATTTTCACGTTGGTTTCACGTAGCGTTCAGGAATGCATTCACACGTGAGAGAGTTGGCCTTGGACCGCAACATGCAGCAACTTCTGTTAGTTATAGCATAACATAACATAGCATAACATAACATAACATAACATAACATAACATAACATAACATAACATAACATAACATAACATAACATAACATAACATAACATAACATAACATAACATAACATAACATAACATAACATAACACAACATAACATAACATAACATATAACATAACATAACATAACATATGCCTTACTTGTGGTGCATTCTATGTGTGAGTCGAGGAATGTTAAGATTTTCCCTGAAGCGAATTTAGCTCCCAAAATCCGTGCCCGCATCAGTCCTTCTGGTTGCACATTCCTGAGGATCTTCACTTTCGGAAATTTCTTCATGTAAATCTCAAGGGGTTTCTTTAGATTTTCTGTCAGGAGAAAAGACTGATATCACATTTGCTAATGAGAGTAACTATAATGCAAGATGTATATTGTCATTTCAGTTCAACGTTATGCGAAATCCTATTTTACCATGACTCGAACCGTCGTCGACAAGAATTAGTTCCTTCAGCAGATGTGGCGGTGTCCTGTTGATCACAGAGTGCACACTTCTAATGAGCACTGACCAAGCCTCGTTCAGGAAACAGATGATGACACTGGTTGGCGGTAATGCATCCGGGTATGTCAGACTTTTACACCTGGAATGATGAATTGTGTACACATTCAAATAAATGGCTTTATGTAACAAGGGAAACAAACGTAAAACATGTTTTAAGTTACACTGTTTGACAACAAATGTTAAGGAAAACATTATGTCCCTTTAGCTTACGACGTTTGGTTACAATGACATTTAGACTCTATCATGTCATCTGAATCGATTTTCGAACAGTGGGTTTATTTCCTAAATTGTCGGACGTGATCGCTGACGCATCGGCACCCTCAGCTAACTGAAGCCACGTTTGATAATCAGATGCTTTGATGTAGTTTAAATTATACAATAGACAAATATATTAATTTCGATGAACGGAATGTCGCGAAAACCCTGTCGAAGAGATCCACACAAACCCCAACTACAGTCAGTGAAGGACTTTCTGTATATTCACAGAGAGTGTTTGATAAGATATAATTAATACCATGTAAATTCTCAAAGACTCAAAGGATTTGCTGAACCTTTTACAGATAAAGTTATTTTAAAGAGAAGGCCCAAGTTCAATTCTTTCAAAACAGTTGGTTTTCAAGTTTGTTCACCACTATCCCACAATATAAGCTTAAGTAGAAACTTCATTCCTGAGGAGTTTGTTACAATCCCACAGATACAGCTACTTATATATGTTAGAAATGATAGCAAATGTTAACAGTTTACTGAGAAAACAATATCATCTGATTGGCAAAATCACTGTAATTAAACATTGGCTCTTTCAAAAGTGGTTTACATTTTCAATTCTTTACCTAATCCACCTGATGAATTTATTACTTCCCTTGAGAGACCATTTTTCAGATTCATTTGAAACGACAAAAATGATAAAATTAAACGGAGCACTTTGAAAAAGGATTATACAGAAGGGGGTTTACGCATGATAGATATTAAAACCTTTGTTAATGCCATGAAATTATCCACACTGAGACTCTATTTGAGAAAAACAAATATGAATAATCCATGCAAGTTTCCATTAAATGATATACTAAAATATGGAGCAAATTTTCAGAATGTTGTTGAAATTGATAATCCTTTTTGGAAAGATGTTTTATTGGCAGGGAAATTATACTGTAATAAGAATACCATAGAAGCAGACAACATTAAAGGAATACTAGCACAACCTTTATGGCTGAATAATAATTTCAAAAACCCAAATCACTTTATCAGGCATTGGGCCAAAAATAAAATTTTAACAATTAAGGACCTTTGTAATGAAGATGGTTTTATGTCTCTTGAAGATCTGAAGCTCAAATTTGATATTAGAGGTACATATATGGAACTTCGATATGTTTTCTATATCATACGTGAATCATGGAAATTGACCATAAAACAATACAGAAATATCCATAACAATGATCTGGATGATAACTTTCTTCATAAAGATTTTATTGATTTGAAAAAAGGTTCAAGATTATTTTATGATAAACTCTTATCTGACAATATTAAACCTCATATTTGCCTAAAATGGGAAAACTTATTTTATGATATTGATTTTGATTGGCGTATGATTTTTAATATTTGCAGAAGGAATGTGAAAGATGTAAAACTTTTAGACTTTCAATTTAAATTTTTCAACAGAATTATTTATACAAAAAAAGAACTTATGAAAATGAAACTGGTTGACAATGCAGTATGTAGCCTTTGTAATGTTGATAGTGAAACTTTATGTCATGTATATTGGGAATGTGTTGTAACCCAAACCTTCTGGAAGGAACTTGAAAACTGGATAATCCGAAATATACAGAAATTTGAAATAACAAAGACCTTGGTTTGGTTTGGAATTTTGGGTAATAAGCCATTACTAAATCATGTAATCTTATCTGCTAAAAAATATATATATACTTGCACTTTGAAGAAAATAATTCCAAAAGTTAATAATTTTAAAAAAAAATTGAAAGACATTTATACGGTTGAAAATTTCATATCCAGGAGGAACAATAAATCTGATAAATTTTCAGACAAATGGTTTCCTTTATTCTCAATATTTAATTTCTGACGTAATCTTTAATCAAAGGGGAATAATTTTACTGTATGCTATCAGTTGATCTAACATTTTTGTTGAACCAAATGAACTTTGATCATGTATTTATGCATTAATTGCTTTACTTTATATGCTTGTACTCAATTATGGGAACAAATAAAAAGATTTAAAAATAAAAAATATCATCTGTTGTTACATCTGTGTAAAATCTATGTGAAACAATGAGAAAATAAGTGGAAATCACTGCAGAACACTACACTGACGACATCCTGGAGACACAAGTGGTGAGCTTTGGGCGCCGACCTCGTTCTGTTTTTCAAGATGACAACGCCAGAGAACACATTGCTCATATTGTACCACCAAACAGAGAACACATTGCTCTTATTGTACCACCAAACAGAGAACACATTGCTCTTATTGTACCACCAAACAGAGAACACATTGCTCCTATTGTACCTCCAAACAGAGAAAACATTGCTCTTATTGTACCACCAAACAGAGAACATAACCACCTTAGAGTGGCACAGACCAGACTTGTCACCCATCGAATATGTGGAAGATGGGTGATGGGGATGGGGCAGAATACTGTACCCTTTCTGCGAGCGCCTAGTATTATCACTGTGTGATAGTAATTCGTAACTTGCTCATGCCAAGGCATTGATAAGGATAACTGATGTATCACAAGTTAATTTCAGCTAATTGAATACCGTAGTTCACCAAGACATGTGCTGGTATGTCAGCTCATACTTACAGGGGGTCTCTCATGTCGGGAAGCCTTCTGTCAACAGATATCAAGTTGCTTGCATATTCATTGAAGTCATTGTTGGAGAAACCTGCTTTGTACTTCTCTTTATCTTCTCCATGAAGATTCCCCTCGTCGATATGAACGGGCTCCCCCATCTGCCCTACAAAACACGCAACTTGTGTCCATTGTTTGACATTCAATGTACATAGGCAATACCATTGTGTGGTATGGGACATACATTATCAAATACTTGGTAACACCATGATAGTATAATAGTTCCTGTCAGTGCATACATAGTAGTCAGGCCTTTCTCACAAGATCATAACACTTTTAATCTGCGTGTCCTGTCCCATTACAAACGCCTGGATTAACGAATCATGAGCTGAATGCATGACATATTTCATGGATAACGGGTTGGTTGAAAATTAATTATAATTAAGATGTTCCTAGTTGCGGCAACCTAAGCGGACAGCGCTCCAAGTAACTTGGCGGCATATAACGGAATACCCAGGAAGGAAACTTTTACATCGAGACACCCTAAGCTAGACACAACGGGTGTTGAATTTTGAACATTAGCATATATTCGCTTATAGCTGAAGCAGATAGTGACATTTCATGAAAACGACATCCTGTAGCTATTGTAAAAATGCATTGTGTTCTCAAATCTTCTCAAGCAGACCCGTGAAGATCCGGGATAGAATAGGTCTTCAGCAACCCATGCTTGCCACAAAAGGCGACTATGCTTGTCGTAAGAGGCGACTAACGGGATCGGGTGGTCAGGCTCCCTGACTTGGTTGACACATGTCATCGGTTCCCAATTACGCAGATCGATGCTCATGCTGTTGATCACTGGGTTGTCTGGCGGTATTTACAGACCGCCGCCATATAGCTGGAATAGTGTTGAGTGCGGCGTAACACTAAACTCACTCACTCTTCTCTAGCAAGGCAGATAATTCAAAATACCCAATGCAAAGGATTGAGTATGTTCACATTCCATTGCCTGACGCTAACCATTAGGAGGGCTTTCGTGAACGAACACTGTCTTAAAGAATAGCCGATGCCCGTGATGTGATAAACTAGTACGATATATGCTATACGATATACGTGAACGGGACACGATTGAAAACATAACCTTGCAAAAACAGCACCATCAACCTATAAACCTGAGTATATTTACTTCCAGATGAACTATACCACCCTTCCACAATATTTTATATATTTCTACAGACTACACACAGTGCTGACTAAGGCTCAACATCTGTCTACGTTCCTATTGATGCAATGAAATTCAGCGCGTTTTGGATTCTGCAAACGATCTGCAATTACACTGATCCTGTTACTATCTGTAGCATATTAGAATATGTACTGACCTTGTCCCTCGTCATCAAACACTAATGGTGGATATTGCTCCTCTTCAGGTTGTGCAGTAACTTCCTGATGCTTATCTTTTTCAATGTCGCCTTTGTGCTCAGCAGCAGCTCCTCTTGGTTCATTACCATCCTTAACGTCGTCTGCGTCGTTTCCATTGTCATCTTTAAACTTTGCTTCTGGTTGGTTATGGTTCTCCCCCAAACCAGCATTAACTTTCTGTTCTTTAAAGACTAACGGCTGTACCACTGAGTCGTTCGAACTGTGTGTCTTTATAATGAGTTTGGCGTTACTGTCACTGTTGATGACGAACCTGGGCAAAGCGTCTGATTGTTGTGCTTCAGAGCCAATGGCTATTTGACGATTTAGAAAATAGTGTCCAGTGTAGACAAAAGTACAGATGATATATGTGACTAGCCCTACACTAATTACGTGCCACCATCGTCGTGGCACCCACTTACGCACGGACCTACACAGAGACGCACGCAACATCTTGTTGTATTCACAGTGGTGTAGATCAGATGTAATCCAGGTCAGCGGTCAGCTCTATTCCAGGTAGCTGGCATCTCGCTATTGCAGTTAACATCTGCCCCTGCCACTCAGGCTGTTCCTCCAAATACGGGATGACACGTTGGGGAGGAACTGAAATGTTGCAATATCGAATTTAACACGCTCAAAAAGTTCGGTTCCCTTTATGTGTAGCCTATGGATGAAAACGATTCTTTTTACACAAGGTGGTGCGACCAAATCATTAATACCAACACATACCAAATGTCACGTGAGCCTTTTTCACAATAAATTAAATATATATTGATAATCAGGTATACAATGTTGAATAGTTTAACTCAACATTAGATAATATGACATGATTTGATAATGAAAACTGTATGCCAGTGGCTCTACAGGGCCGACTAAGATTGTCACCTACCAATGATGTTGATCCTGATCGGGCATGACTGTGGACATATCTGCCATATAGTATTCTTGAAACGTGTTGCATCAATAGACCAACACAAGCACAAGCTGTCACCCAATGTCTATAGATTGTCCTTGCCATGACTTCAATGGCTGAATCGATGCGGCAATACACATGTTACTGAAGTGCCGCGCCTGCGCTGGGAACAAATGACATTTGACAAAGAAAACATACAGATGAATTATACAAATTAATTTTAAAGATATATGTCCAATAATGTGCGCAGGTTGCGTATAAATGGTGATCCGTGAAACATTTAAGGCCTGTTCAACAAACACAAGTTAAATAACTGACAAAGTAAATCAAGTACTCACCCTGACTCCTTTACATTCAACACCATGGCTGACTTTCGATGTAGATAATAGTTAATTAAATATCGAACGATTATCGATAAATATCGGAGTAGTAACTATGCCGATAAAGCCTGACAGAAATCAACATATTTTCAAATTGATAATTGTAAACAATTCTTCTCATCGACGATATTTCCAATTATCGATTTTTTAGCAAGTCATATTGAACATGGTATACTGCATGTATCAGTAATCAGACGTAAATGACGGGGGTCTGCAGGTGGCGGAATCATTGTTAACCGGATTACAGGATGATCACACTAGGTTGGGTGGTAGCCGACACAAGGTTGACTGGTCTATCACACTAGGGTGGGTGGTAGCCGACACAAGGTTGACTGGTCGATCACACTAGGTTGGGTGGTAGCCGACACAAGGTTGACTGGTCTATCACACTAGGTTGGGTGGTAACCGACACAAGGTTGACTGGTCTATCACACTAGGTTGGGTGGTAGCCGACACAAGGTTGACTGGTCGATCAAACTAGGTTGGGTGGTAGCCGACACAAGGTTGACTGGTCTATCACACTAGGTTGGGTGGTAGCCGACACAAGGTTGACTGGTCTATCACACTAGGTTGGGTGGTAGCCGACACAAGGTTGACTGGTCTATCACACTAGGTTGGGTGGTAGCCGACTCAAGGTTGACTGGTCGATCACACTAGGTTGGGTGGTAGCCGACACAAGGTTGACTGGTCTATCACACTAGGTTGGGTGGTAGCCGACACAAGGTTGACTGGTCTATCACACTAGGTTGGGTGGTAGCCGACTCAAGGTTGACTGGTCTATCACACTAGGTTGGGTGGTAGCCGACACAAGGTTGACTGGTCTATCACACTATGTTGGGTGGTAGCCGACACAAGGTTGACTGGTCTATCACACTAGGTTGGGTGGTAGCCGACACAAGGTTGACTGGTTGATCACACTAGTTTCACTGGTAGCCGACACAAGGTTGACTGGTCGATCAAACTAGGTTGGGTGGTAGCAGACACAAGGTTGAATGGTCTATCACACTAGGATGGGTGGCAGCAGACACAAGGTAGACTGGTCTATCACACTAGGTTCAGTGGTAGCCGACACGAGGTTGATTGGTCGATCACACTAGGTTCAGTGGTAGCCGACACAAGGTTGACTGGTCGATCACTCTAGGTTGGGTGGTAGCCGACACAAGGTTGACTGGTCTATCACACTAGGTTCAGTGGTTGCCGACACAAGGTTGACTGGTCTTTCACACTAGGTTGGGTGGTAGCCGACACAAGGTTGACTGGTCGATCACACTAGGGTGGGTGGTAGCCGACACAAGGTTGACTGGTCTATCACACTAGGGTGGGTGGTAGCCGACACAAGGTTGACTAGTCTATCACATTAGGGTGGGTGGTAGCCGACACAAGGTTGACTGGTCTATCACACTAGGTTGGGTGGTAGCCGACACAAGGTTGACTGGTCTATCACACTAGGTTGGGTGGTAGCCGACACAAGGTTGACTGGTCGATCACAGTAGGTTGGGTGGTAGCCGACACAAGGTTGACTGGTCTATCACACTAGGTTCAGTGGTAGCCGACACGAGGTTGATTGGTCGATCACACTAGGTTCAGTGGTAGCCGACACAAGGTTGACTGGTCGATCACTCTAGGTTGGGTGGTAGCCGACACAAGGTTGACTGGTCTATCACACTAGGTTCAGTGGTAGCCGACACAAGGTTGACTGGTCTTTCACACTAGGTTGGGTGGTAGCCGACACAAGGTTGACTGGTCGATCACACTAGGGTGGGTGGTAGCCGACACAAGGTTGACTGGTCGATCACACTAGGGTGGGTGGTAGCCGACACAAGGTTGACTTGTCTATCACATTAGGGTGGGTGGTAGCCGACACAAGGTTGACTGGTCTATCACACTAGGTTGGGTGGTAGCCGACACAAGGTTGACTGGTCTATCACACTAGGTTTGGTGGTAGCCGACACAAGGTTGACTGGTCGATCACTCTAGGTTGGGTGGTAGCCGACACAAGGTTGACTGGTCTATCACACTAGGTTCAGTGGTAGCCGACACAAGGTTCTTTGGTCGATCACACTAGGTTCAGTGGTAATCGAAACGAGGTTGATTGGTCTATCACTCTAGGTTGGGTGGTATCCGACAATAGGTTTATGGGTAGATCAAGTAAGGTTAGGTGGTAGTCGACAATAGGTTGATTGGTAGATCACACAAGGTGGGGGGTATCCGACAATAGGTTTATACGTAGATCAAGTAAGGTTGGGTGGTAGTCAACAATAGGTTTATTGGTAGATCACACAAGGTGGGGTGGTAGCCGACAATAGGTTTATTGGTAGATCAAGTAAGGTTGGGTGGTAGCCAACAATAGGCTTATTGGTAGATCAAGTAAGGTTGGATGGTAGCCGACAATAGGTTTATTGGTAGATCACACAAGGTGGAGTGGTAGCCGACAATAGGCTTATTGGTAGATCACACATGGTTGAGCTATGGTTGATAACACGAGGTTAAGCTATGGTAGATTACACGACGTTGGGTTGTAGTAGATTAGACTAGGCTGAGTTAAAGTGAGTGAGTGAGTTTAGTTTTACTCCGCTTTTAGCAATATTCAAGCGATATCACACTAGATTGAGTTATTTTGAGTTATGCCAAGTCTAACGAGGTTGAGTTATATCAGGTCACACAAGATTGAGTTATACCAGGTCACACGAGGTTGAGTTATACCAGGTCACACGAGGTTGAGTTGTACCAAGTCACACGAGGTTGAGTTATACCAAGTCACACGAGGTTGAGTTGTACCAGGTCACACTAGGTTGAGTTATACCACGTCACACTAGGTTGAGTTATACCAGGTCACACTAGGTTGAGTCATACCAGATCACACGAGGTTGAGTTATACCAGGTCACACGAGGTTGTGCCGAAGTTCACCACACTAGGTTGTGTTTTTATTGATCCAAGATGTGGTAGATTACAGGAGTTTGATATATAAGTAGAATTGATGTGGCTCGATAGACTTTGATAACCCGTTGCTGGGTAGTGGTAGATGACAAGAAGTTGTGTTATTGGGACATACCACTACCATTAGGCTAATCCTTAGTCTCTGAATATATTTTATATCCACCTCTGGTAGAACGCTTCTATAGATTTTAAAGAGACAATATTTGAATAATAAATAGTAATCAACTTAATATCTTCCACTCAAGAATCGCTTCAGTTTTGTACAAACAATTACAAAGAATACGTCAAATACAATTTTCAGATTATGGAAATATCCAAAGCTCAATGTGACAGATGATAACAGACTATATCATATATATATATATCTGCCATTACACATCCGTATACTGTTGCAGAAGCAAATATACTGAGGACAACGCTACATCCCAGCTCTGTGGTAGCGGATATCAACAAGGTCCCTGTGGTATATAAACATTGTCTTAGCTCGGACGTTCATATCAGTATATAGATAATATTAGGCACACACTTCTTACCTCACCACCGCCATAAAGCTGGAATATTGCTCAGTGCGGTGATGATGAACAACAACCAACCTTATCTCGCCGAAGCCATTAAAAGTTCATTACTTCACATGGAGCATGAGCACTTTGTTCATACAGCACGTCCGAAATGTTTGATATCACACATGGACCATATGTACTTTATATCATACAGCACGTCCGAACTGTTTGATATCACACATGGACCATACAGCACGTCCGAAATGTTTGATATCACACATGGACCATATGTACTTTATATCATACAGCACGTCCGAACTGTTTGATATCACACATGGACCATATGCACTTTATCTCACCTAGCACGCCGTAAATGTTTGATATCTCACATATAGCATCTAGGACTTCAGTTATCTAGCACCCTCCTAGATCATCTCCACTCAGTGGTTTATCTTATGTGGGCACACACCATATCTCAAAAAGGCAATATCTCCTGGGGCCATGCATCCTCACTATCATCAAGTGTCCAGCTATAAGACGCCCCTGGGGCCATGCATCCTCACTATCATCAAGTGTCCAGGTATAAGACGCCCCTGGGGCCATGCATCCTCACTATCATCAAGTGACCAGGTATAAGACGCCCCTGGGGCCATGCATCCTCACTATCATCAAGTGTCCAGCTATAAGACGCCCCTGGGGCCATGCATCCTCACTATCATCAAGTGTCCAGCTATAAGACGCCCCTGGGGCCATGCATCCTCACTATCATCAAGTGTCCAGGTATAAGACGCCCGTCTGTAAATAATCGAATCAGGACCAGACAGTCCAGCGACTGACACAATGAACATCGACGTATACAAATGGGATACGATGACACGCACCAACCAAATCACCATCTTGACCACCCGATCCCCTCACTCGCCTGTCACAACAAGTATTACTAACCCGTATTACCACTGTCTTGGTGATATATATATTGTTCCTTTCTTGCAAAATACACACTTAATCTGACTTTGACAAGACTACATCCAGTACCTTTGATACTGACGCGGTTTATCTCGATATTCATTATAGCTCACCTGGGACATGCCTTTTTTACGACACTTTGTTAATTGTACTGCTTTCTTGTGAGCCCTCTTTTCCATTGCATCTAAACAAAATGTCTCCACACCAGCAGACTGGATCTGTCATCAACATAGAGGATGTTACCTTTATATTTTCAGATTTGTTCTAGTGGATCGGAGTAAGTGGCAATTTTGAACAAACTCACTTGCCTAAGGTGAAACCACATGTTTCACATGTGCTTCGTTTGTGGGGCAGGAGTGGAGTCAGGCTGCCAAACACGGTCACCCATCCAAGAACGGTCCGTGACCAACGTTGCTAACTTCAACTATGCACAAGACCACACGCCATTATTATGTGAATATGTTTAGGAATCCGTGTCAATAAACACCACACTAGCTGTACGTGTTATCAAGTGACGTGTTCACTATACACCTTTGTAAAGTATCGCAGATGGAACACTACGACAGATTCATGCATTGGCATGTGTGCATACAGAAAGAGCACAAGGCAAGCAACGTTTAACCCCGGGCTGATGAGGTTTGAAAGTTAATCTAAGAGTATTTCAGATATATAACGTGACCATTAAAGGGAGCTGCAAGACTTTCCAGTATGATGGTAGACAAATACCAATTAGAATCATTCGGTTTAAAAAGGGATGTCTTTCGTGAGTACAATGCACAATGTGTGCACTGACTGATGGTGTCTCTGATTCGGAGGATTGAAACTTGTTCACATGTTGAAAAATATCTTGCGTGTAAATGGAAATCGGATATCTGGGTTTGTGGAAGACAAATTGGTGGATTTGGGAGCTTCGCAATTCATTCTTGGGGCGAAATGGACAGATGAGATGTTGTCGATTACAAACAACTGCCTAATAATGCCAGCATTATTCCCACTGAAGGTGACCACCCCATACATCTCCGGGGTGGTCCCAACTGGACGAGACGGGCAATGATGACGTGTACTTACAGTTCCTCTCTGTAACGCATCTGAAGGAAGAAACACTTCCGGGTATATGTTTTTTATGTACCAGTCAAAGCTCTGACATCTAAGCTCTCGCCTCAGATCTTGCCGTTGTGAAATATTGCCTATGTCCGCCTGAAACATTGTAGTAACGGCAATATCAAGTCGTTTACCGCGTGCATCATCTATACACACTGTCATAACGTAGCATGGGTGTGTTCTGTAAATAATTCAGAGCCTTGTTCACATGCAGATGCAGTAGCACTAACCAGCTCACAGATACGACCTTTCCAAACGCCATCTTTTCATATCTTTTTCATAATTATTTAGCAGATAAATGATTTGGATAAACCAGTTAATGGCATTTACCATGACAGCACGACGCATTAGGATCCATGACAATGTAATCACTAGATTGGCCCTTACCAGTCTAGTCCCAATATGTTCGTAATAGATGTCTTTATACTCGTCAAGCCAGATCTCCGCCACTCTCTGTGAGTTCCGCTGGACGGTGTTGGCCGCAAAGTGCATTGGAGAAGTTCGTCGGAAGATGTGGCCGATAAGAGAACACGGAATGATCTTCAGCGACCCACCACACATCCAAATCTGAGGGGAAACACGGTAAATACTCAGTGTAAAATGCTTCCGTATTGTTCTGGTATTTCCATGTTTTTTGTGGAGATAGAGGGCATGATGTGTCTGTGTTTAGATGTTAATGTCATTAAGGGTTGTCTGTATGAAATGGATGGAATAATCACGTATAGTACAAACATTCCTGGAAGCTGGAAGCTCTAATATATATCAGCGGGCATGTGCGTGCCTCTGCCATCTCGCATCACATCAAGACAAGCGGTTGTTTGAGGATCATATTTACATCCTAGATATCCAACCCAAACTTACCATGTACCACTGTTGCTGCTGGCTAAATATAAGCACAGACAGTATTGATATCGGCGCTGTCCTCTGTTCCATAGTGTCATTGTAACTGAACTGCCACTGAATTTGTACTGCCACTGCATACCTGTCAACTCTCACGCATTTGGCGTGAGTCTCACGCTTTATTGACAAATGTCACGCTCTCACGCCTCCAAACAATAATCTCACGCATATCTGGTAGCCAAAAATAATTTCAAAATTAATACGCATTTTCGTTCGTTTTTGCGTAAAGTTGAACATTAAAAGAACGCCTGAATGAACGAAGTACTAAAACGATGTTTATGCGAATGATTCGGCTTATTATTTATTAGCATGCATCTTTTAGTGTCAAAATAATGCCACCAGAAGGCTCCAAATGATCCTGAAAATCACTAAACTTCATTTTCGGGGGCGGGGGGCTTCGCCCCCCAAAGACCCCCCCACCAGGGCGTCGCCCTCGACATGACCCCGGCTTATTTTTTTCAGTCTCACTCCAAACCATCTTTAGGGGTTGACAGCTCTGTGCCAGTCTAGTTGGTATTGTGTCGCCATAGAGCTGGAATATTGCTAAATGTGGAGTAAAGCTAAACTCGCTCACTCACTATTTGGTACTGCCACTGTAATTTCTTTTCAGCAATTTGTCCTGATTTATATCTTGTTAATTTTATAGCATATGGTTTACTTATACAATATCCATCTGTTGTTGAGATAAGTTTTAAAGCATACGTTTTCTTCCATCCAAGCATAGTAAATAAAACACGTTTGCGAGGAGGTTTACTTTTATTATCGCTAGTGGTGACGAAAGGGTAGGATGTTACATTCTGAAGGCGCAAAATGAAGCTTACTGTTGAAATATAAAGGGTTCGCGGCTGATTACATAGGACGGTGTGACACTGCAGGCACTGATGATGCTACTATACAAACAAAAGCGAAAAACTTCGTTCTTCAGATCATGATTCTGTGTCATGTATTATGATTACAGGTTTTTAAATTAGATCATATAAGATAATTAGATTAAATGATGGTAGTGCTTTTACATGTCTATACTAATTCACAGTTTCTCACCTTAAACGATAGTTCCATATTTTCTCCACCCCAGAGTTCAAACTGTGGGTCATAGGTTCCAAGGTGCTCAAAGAATTGTTTGTTGATCATAAACAGTCCCCCGGCCATCGTCGGAGATCTAGGAGGGAAGTCATCATATTTAGCACGAGTCCTTTCGGCAGCTTTACTTTGCTATATGACAGGAAGGACACCTTTAATATGTCACACATGTTGACAGCTGTCAGGTGACTGGCGAAGTATTCTTCAGCATTACATTGAGCATGTCAGTAGCAGGTGTAAGAACAGTCAAAGCAAAGTCAGTAGGACGTGAAACAACAGTCAAAGCAAAGTCAGTAGGACGTGAAACAACAGTCAAAGCAAAGTCAGTAGGACGTGAAACAACAGTCAAAGCAAAGTCAGTAGGACGTGAAACAACAGTCAAAGCAAAGTCAGTAGGACGTGAAACAACAAAGCAAAGTCAGTAGGACGTGAAGTAGCACCGATAGTAGTAGAAGAAACAGTAGCATTGACAGCATAGTACCGGGTACAGTGGTAGAGGTAGACGTAACAGAGACAGTAGTAGCAGGAGACATGCCTGATACAGGAGCAGATACAGCAGTGGATACCTGACTGGGCTTGTAAGGTCTTGTCTGTCCACATTGTCACGCTCAGTGATGGGCTCCCATCGGAAGTTCATGTCCCAGTAGAAGCCCCCCTTTGCGGCTACTAAATCCTCCGGTTTGTGCTTGAACTCAAATGTGCTATGATCTATGCTGGGGATCACCGGCCACACTACTACTGACGGGTTGTGATGTATTCGTGCGAGTTGAGGCTCCGCCCATCCTGTGGCAAAAAGATCTTTTGAGCACGACAAGAGGTAAAAAGAACTCACGTTTGCTGTGTGATTTAACTAACTGACTGAGTTTGGTTTTACGCCGCTTTTAGCAATATTCCAGCAACATCACGGCGGGGGACACCAGAAATGGGCTTCACACATTGTACCCATGTGGGGATTCGAACCCGGGTCTTCGGCGTGACGAGCCAACGCTTTAACCATTAGGCTACCCCACCGCCCCCTGTGTGATTTAAATCGCTTTGGACTATATTGCACTGGATACAAAAGATTTCATTTATAACATTGAGATTATTCAGGCAAATGTTTTGTGTTAATATGCCCTTTCCTACCGTGACCAGATTCTTCAGCATCACGTCGTACCGTTTTTCAATCAACACCAAGATGTCCATACTTTTCAACAAAACACACGGGAACACACAGCTAGACTTCCCATGCAGTATCTGGCCCAGCAACACATCCCGGCAATTCATTGGCCAGCACTGTCGCCAGATTTATCCCCTATTGAGCACTTTTGGGAAGAAATTGGTCAACGTCTTTCACGGCGACAACAGATACGAAACATCCGGGAACTTGAGGCTGCACTACTGCAGGAGTGGAATGCCATCCCCCAGAACAGTATTATTCACTCGATGAGGAGACATTGCATTGCATGTGTCACACGCGATATTGACTGTTCGATTTGACCCCACATGTGTTTGATCCTTTCTTACTGTGAAACAATTAAAGGAATGAGCGTCTTTTCTGTTTTGTTGTTTTTGTCAGTCGTCCATCTGTTATTATCCACTAAAAAAATCAGTTGCTTACATGTGATCTCAACTTTTGTAAGTGGTGCGTTTTCAGTGCTGGTGAGTTTATTTAGAACTAACACTAAGCAGAATCTCCGAGGAGGTGTTAATTAAAACGTCACTTAGAGTAAGTGATATTCCATTTTTTGTTACGTTACAAGAACGTATGTCCCTATTTATGTGGGTCGAAGGGACTACAGCCGTTAGAATTACTTAAATTCCTTGAACACCTCAATCATGTCACTTATGGGAACCAAAAATATTGCCATCCTTCTTTGTCCTAACACAGCTACCCTCTTAGTACATCTGCCTATATGCATTTCACATGTACATACCCGTCACACATTCGCAATGCGAGTCAAGGAAAGTTAAAACTTCCGACTTGGCCACTTCTGTCCCCATCAGCCTCGCTCTCACTAGCCCCTCCCTCTTGGGTAAGCGAATGACCTTGACCTTTGGCAGCTTGGCGACGTATGTGTCCAAATCCTTTTTCAGATGATCTGAAACAATGAAACAATAGATTTATAACATTCACACTGCTCATTGCATGAAATAGCTTGTGTAAGCATCCGACAAAATAGTTTATAGCATGCACATAGTTTTATATATAATATTAGTAGTAAAGCCTATATTTGTAATATGTTGGATTATGATTCTGAGTTATCTCAAACAATTTGTGAAATAAAGATCGGTTTATGCCTTTCCTACCCATAGTCGAGGCGTCATCAACAAGGATTATTTCTTCCAGTAAGCGCGGATGTGTCGTCTTCAATACGCTGTGAACAGTTCGCAAAAGCGTCGACCAGGCCTCGTTGTGAAAACAGATTATTACGCTCGTTCTTGGAAGTGACCATGGATAAGTCTGACTTCTGCACCTGTCGATGACGAAGACATTTTGCATTACACATCAATGTATTCCTCACTTAACTACTGTTGTAAGATTCACTACAACACCATTGCCAACTGCTGTCTCTAATAATATTCATGCCGTACCTCTCAAAGCTATAAGATTAAATACTTCCAACACTAAAGCCATCTGTAATCATTTTAACAACACGACACATCTCAATTATGAGACCCCATTCATGCAGCATTTGTGGCTCTGTGATTACCGCATAGGTAGTTGGAAAGCAAATATGTTGATCAATTCTCGAGGCTGTCACATCACAAGTTTAAAACGGATTTCTCTTACTATGTACAACATATAATATTAATTAGCTGCAGACCCCGGCACCTGCCAGGAAAGGAACGGTCATCTAATTCCATTCACCGGGTAAATTCACATATCAGTAGAAACCAATCAGTGTGCACTCCATTACATACTCAGCTCCCTTCGAAGTACTGACTGACTGAGTTTAGTTTTACGCCGCTTTTAGCAATATTCCAGCAATATCACGGCGGGGGACACCAGAAATGGGCTTAACACATTGTGCCCATGCGGGGAATCGAACCCGGGTCTGCGGCGTGACGAACCAACGCTGTAACCACTAGGCTAACCCCAAACCCCCCTTCGAAGTAAACAGCCGAAATAGGTTTGTGATATCTCAGAATATTTTCTTGGGCCATATTCGTAGATGAATCTTGGGCGTACTATGTTGGGTGCAATGAGGTAGGAGTGGAAGCGGGGCTGGAGACACAGCGATACATGTACCGTTCATCATATACTGAACGAACAGCTTCACATGTGTTTCAACTCTCCTGTGTCTACATCCTTGTCCACTAGGTAAACCGTTATATGGTGAAACTGCCTCAACTCACAGTGGGTGCCTGAGATCTGGCAGGTCCCTGGTCAGTGGTATTCTGTCACTGGCGAACTGGTTGAAGGTGTTATCGTCCCATCCCTTGTCGTACAGCTTCTTCTCCTGGGGGGTAAGTGTGTCACGGTCTATTATCACTGGAGCGCCCATGAAACCTGACATGAAATGAAGATTGGACTTTGTACTTTGCTGAATTATTATTGATTACTGTATATCCTAAACATTCTTTTTGAAAAAAAGATATTATATACTATTTATATTTTAGCACATTATAAACGATGAAAACCGAGACCGAGGCTATACAATATGAAATAGATCCGAGGACACAAAACCGTCACAAAGTTTGATTAACATTTATATCCCTTACCAGGCGACATCACTTGGCCACTGTTAGCGTTGTTTGTGTCATTGTAAGCGGCATCTCCATTTACGATAGATTTTAGATCCTTCGCCTCCATCTGTCTCACTCCGGCTCGGATCGGTTTTTGCTTTTTCAACTGTACGTTCAAGTCTGGCGCTTTATTGAGTAATACCAGTGCCAGAATGTCATTTCTCTTTCCTTTCTCCCCTGCACGATCGACATTGTCTGTTCTAAGTACTGACACCTTCTTATGATCCCCACTGGCTTTTAATGATTCCATTTTGAACAGTTGGAGTTGTTCGCTGAGGTCCTGGGTCCCTGTGTTGTCGATGATGCGGAGTAAATGAAATGAAATTATGAAGCTGTACACAATCACAAAAACACCAACGACTTTGATCTCCTTCCATCTGGGTGAAATGATGTTCATCCTTCCCTGGGCGGACCTGTCTCCAACAACACGGAGCAGAAAACACTGAAATATAGGCAATGCACGTATATATTTTTAGCAATTATGAACTGCCGCATAGGTACGTTGAAAGCTGGATCACCAGCAAGAACAATTCGGATAAAGAAATAGAAATGATCAATTGAACTAATGCAAAGGATTGTGGTTTGATTTTGGCAGTCTGCAGATCGAAATGACACCGGCACCTGGTATTACCACTTTCCATTCAGTCACAGATACACACGTTTTACTTTGAAGTGGTTTTGTACATATATCCGACGGTAGCCAAAGCTTCGTAATATATGTTTTTAACAGTTTCTTAGTGATTCGAACAGACCCCTCCCTCGTCTTTTGAGGGGACAGTAATGGCGTGTATGATCCGCAATCCGTACCTGAAATATTCCTTACTTCAGTCACAACCAACTAGGCGTTCTTGTCCTTTCTGGGAGTATCGAAGAGTAAGATTATTTTTTGCCTTACACTCAAAATACAAATTGGTCTTGAAATAGTAATAGATGATCACCCACTGGTCAGTTGACTTGTACGTTATTTTGAGGTATTACAAGAGAACCTGTCTTTGTCTGTTTTTGCTTAAACATACAGTTCACTTCATCAAGCCAAAACGTTCCCTGGCTGTAGCGACATGGCCAAAACTCTGGGCCAATTTACCATTGGAGGCTTTTCCTTCAACTTATAGTAATTATAGTTCAACTGGTAGTAATTTCTGATAAATATCATCACACTTACACAAAATAGCTCCGCCGCAAATGTTTCATTCAAATAAGAATGTTCTTTTCGATATCTATTTGGGAGATGGTTCATTATTTCAAGTGGGTCTCTGTAAGAGACATGTCAAACCTTACAATCAACATCGTAGCATTATGATACTTTCACGAGTATTCATGCAAGTTATTTATACAGATAACTAAAGACTGCTACCGGCACTGAGGAAAAGGTTCAAGTCCCCATTCTCGACGCACGGTATGATGCTATTCCTGAAATGCAAGAGAACGTCAGGCAAAAAATGAAATTGCGTGTTCTGTATCGCCTCGTCACTTTAAAATATCATTATTGCACAGTTAAATGGTAAATGCCGCAGTCAATCGCCTCTAAAACGTGAGTTAAAAAAATATGCATATTATATTTGGGATTACACTTTCTCAATAAAGTACAGATTCTAGTACTTTTGTTGGGATGAGTCCCATCCGGGATTCGAACCCATACTGTCAGCACACAAAGTCAGCCACGTGTTACATTTGACCACATTATAAATGGCATCGTGTATTTAATTAATAGCTTTCGGTCGTGGGAGCCGTGCAATTCACACTTGTCAATGGGGTACACAAAGTAAGTGGTCTAGTTTACCAGTTGTCCGACTTCCATTTTTGTGGAGCCAGGGTGGCTGAGTGGATTAAATGCCTAACTTTGTGTTATGGCGATGAGGTGCCTGACTCCGAGAATGTGGGTTCGAATCCCAGATGGGACTCAGCCCAACAAAAGTACTAGAATCTGTATTGAGAAAGTGTAATCCCAAATAAAACATGTGTTATGATTTGACCACTTTCTAAATGGTATTGTGTATTCTTAATTATATAAAATAATTAAAAAGCAAGTATTCTTGTATTGAGAATTTTGTGGTAGTTATTTCATATGGCAAAGAATACACATGTGAAACTTATAACCATCAGATTCTGAAAAAACTTCATGAAATGACACAGCAATGACACTTGTCAGTGAAATATTCTGAAAATAAATTATCCTGTCAAGGAAGAAGTGAATAAAACATACCACTGATCCATCTTAGCTCGAAATAATACAACTGCCAGACAATATTATACACTATATGCTGCATGCTATATGACTGCTTTTCTTACTATAGAAAGTATATACAGAATACATTGAACACTGCAATATCGAGGACCTTAAACATGTGTATCTTATCTTAGTCCATGCTGGCGCCATTAGCTCTGATCACATGCTACTGTTAGTCGATTTACATAAGTAACAGGCAGTGTGGGAAATAGTTACCAAATGTTGCTAGCCAGTCGGGCTAGCTATGCCTGAAAGTTACTAGCCCACAACATAATTCACAAGCCCAATATTTGATTGTAGAAAAGTAAGCAAAAGATTACACAAGTAGATGAGAATAAAACATTGTCGGCATGACATGGGTTTCATCATTCAGCTGCTAATATGATGAACATTTATATCAGGCAATAATCTTGCATGATAAGAAAGTGTATTATAACTTAACAAGTCGGAGAGAGTGATATGACCCCATGAAAATTCACTAGCCAGTCGAGCCTGTGACTGTGGAGATTTACTGGCCCGACTGGATTTTTACGAGCCACGGGCTAGCGGACCTGTGGCTATTTCGCACACTGGTAACAGGTCTTCTTTAGGAACGAGATAACACAGAGAATCGACAGAAAGTAGATGTGTAATACTAGGCGGTATCAGCATCGATCAGAACAGTTCACTGTGTACATGAGTTGGGCCGTATGACTATATGGAAAATATAAAAAGTCACTCTCATTTTCTGATCTCTAACACAAAAAGATCATTTAAGTGATTTCATTTTTTCAGTCGCTATCTTGCTGAGCACTTTTTGATACAGTTTTCAACGAACCATACTGCGTTTTGATTCGCTTACGCTCAGCTTAAGTTGCTGTCAATATTGTTCAAGAGTACCATATATTATCTGCACCATTTCCCTGTGAAACTGCATGAGGCAAAATCAGATCAATGAGATCGTCAAAAAAAGGTATCAGCTCACCTGTCCTACTACTACAGATTGCTTGGAACGAAATACACATCAAGCCACAATCATAGATTAACTTAAAAGGGGAAATGAAGTGAAATCATGAGAATAGTTTTCGTGAGTAGGTATTTGACAATTTGAGGATATATTTTTCGAACATTAAACGCAGTGTTGAATATTGATTGAAAAGACATTGGCGACTCCAGCATCACTGGCGTGTACACACGAAATACAGTGTTTCTACTTACATAGGTTTGCAAGCAAGACATGTTACATGAGAACAGTCAGTATTAATTTACAGTATATGAATAACTAGTGGAAAAAATACATTAACTTACTGTGCGAGTGTAATAGAGAATCCCTTGTGTAGAAATGCTCGCAGCCACCGAGGTGGGTTACAATAAAGTCGATACACAGGGCAACAGCCCGCAGGCCTTCTATAGTGCACGGATCGACTGCCGTGTTAGGGCTGTTTGACAGAGTCAGACAACGCCTGTCGAGCTGTTTCACACAGATAGATCAGCACATGTGTGTACGTTTTAACATGCAGTTTAAACTATTGAACACTGACATTAATGTCAGGCATATGTTGCGTATATAACGTCTGAATGCCGTGTACACATATACCCAGCAACACCACCGATATCAGTCACATACTAACACATATCTTGCAACATGACGGTATTACAACGGAACATAGCATCAGGGTGCGATCTTCCAGTCTTTAGTATGCGTCATATGACATTTCAAGTGATAATTGTGGGGACTGATTTTTCTTCAGAGAGAATCACTTGCGCGACATGGGATATATAGTTTAACGCAACTATAATGATGTTTAGCTGTTCCTTCTGAGAAGCTTTGGCAAAGTTTAAACTTTGCTGGTAATTTGTTCTCTAATTTACATACAATAATAATATGGTATTCACACCTGCCAACTCTCACGTGTTTGGTATGAGACTCACGCTTGTATTACTCATGTCACGCTCTCACGATTAAACAGATAAATCTCACGTCAAACCAGGTTCATATGGAAAAATAAAACTCGGTTTAAAACACACAAATACGTCTGAATATATCGTTTTCAGTGATTTTTCTGAGACGGGAATTAGCAATTATACGTTGGCTTGAGGTGGGCTTCAGGACCCGGCATGGGGCTGCGGCTCTTGAACCCCCGGCATCGCAAGCTATTGTTTCTCTTGGGGTTGGAAGCTCTGTGTATGTTGGCGGTATACCTCTTCTCTACGGAACGAGAAGCTGGTCACGTGACAAGGAAACTGTCGTTCATAAAGTGCATCTGAAGCTTCGACTGCAAGACTGTGAGAAAACACTCTCCCTCTGGCCCATCCCTGCGACAAGTTTATGCACATAACCATCGACCATGTAAAACTGTGATCAGACAACCACATGTACCTGCTATGTGAATAAGAAGATTTGTATTGTCAGAAAGTCTAGATGATCAAAACTGGACACTATAATGTTCAAGATAATGATCCATTCTTTCCATGTTTTACGCCGCACTCATGAAGATTGCAGCTAAAGGGCGATGATCTGCAAATACCTGCGTCTGGGCCAGACAGTTGGCCGTTTGAACATCGATCATTGCAGTGCCGAGAAGCAGTCAACCAAGTCACATCAGCAAGACAGTACAACCACATCACATCTCATGGTCGGACACAACTTGTTGACAATCAATGGCAATCTGACAGATCTGCGATACAAGGATCATTGGGCCTCATGTACAGCCGTTCATTCAAAGACAGAGACGTAACTTCAGGCTTCAGCAAGATAATGCCCGTCCACATGTCGATCGGTGGGAGTTTTACCCCGCACTCAGCAATATTCCAGCTATATGGCGGTGTCGATCGTGTTGTGACAGATTTCCTGAGACAGCAGAACATTCCGGTACTCCCCTGGCCAGCTGTTTCTCTGGACCCATCCCCTATCGAGCACGCTTGGGGTGAAATGGAGAGACGTTTACGTCAAGCCCAGGATCATTGACGTTAGCTGAATTGGGACAAACGTTGGTTCAGACATGGAACAACACTCTTCAAGTTTTCTTCAATCGCTTAGTGTCGTCTATGCGCCGTCGGTGTCAAGCCTGCATCAACGCCAATGGTGGACACACGCGATACTGAATTTGTGAACTGACTTTTGACACCGCATTCTTCTAGGGCGCGTCACGATGTTTAGTGTCAAATCATACAGATTTCGATAGTATCCTAGGCCTGTGAGCAGTTAAACAGTGATTATTAATAGGGAAAACTCCTCAAATCATGTTGTTATCTTTTTGCATTAAGAAATGGCATCACATCAAATAATGCAGTTTCTTTACTCCAGGTGTCTACTATCCCAGTGCTGACGTTCCCCAGCTGCAAGGTGAGGGATGACACGTGGACGTCTTGCATTCCAATACCATCTGTGTAGACGATTTCGTTCCATCCCGGCATGCACTCTTACACCAGTATAGTATCCAGAACCTTACCTATGCAGCAGTTTGCAACCAACTTCTCATGTCATCGTTGAGTTTCCAGAGAGGCGATGATCATCGACGTTATGCGTTTGATTGAGTGAGTGAGTTTAGTTTTACGCCGCACTCAGCAATATTCCAACTATATGGCGGCGGGTTACAAATGCGTTTGAAACCTGAGAAACATGTAGCAGTGGTACAACAATATTCCGACGTGCACTCACCTGCAATGTGGCTATGGAACATTTCAAACCACGCGTGCAGTAATACTATTACTTCCTTAAGTGTGTTAAAGAAAGTGACTTTGAGTGTTCGGCTAAAAACATAATAAAACCAACTGTTTGGTGCAGATCTAAGTAGATAGATTGTGGGTTGTTGTTTTTTGCGTGTTGTTGTATTTTGGGTTTTTTTCTAGTGTTTGGGTGTGTGGGGTATGCTGCAGCTGATATGCTAACATCAGTTGATGTACAAACTAAAGGAGGTAACAGTATAACGCCAAGGTGATTAAAGGGAGGAGCCAATTCGGCACAGTGATGTGGGCCGCGGGGGTCATCACATAAGGTAAGACAATCAAGATGTTCACTCACTTCAACTTTTCTTCGAAACCAGCTCATGGATAGCAACATCAACATATGCTTGAAGTGTCGGCAAATACAGACCTTGCTTGTACCACTGGACATGTCAGTCTCACGGAGTGCACGTGCTAGTCGTGGTGTTTGGATGAAGAAAGTAATAACGTTGTCATTCGCCAAATACTTAGTGGACTACTTCATGTTCATAACATTAAAAAACAGAATTATGTATTATTTACATAATAATATTTATACTATCAGTGAAAGAGTTCAAATGATTTGAACTTGAGCAGAATCCCGAAAGAATAACAATCCGTAATGTCGGGCTGAAACGTTAATATGATTAGCTGTCTGTTCTGGATACAGCATGTTAGTATACTGAACTACTGTAGAATAGCAAGACATTTGGACCAGTAGTGAGTAATACTTCTATAATGTCAGGCATAACTCACTCGAAGAGGCATACTGCGTATGGGGATTTGAGGGTATCCTGCCCACTCCTCTCACAGCGCCTGGTTCAGACAATATGTCCAGCGTCCCATGACGTTGACGCACGCACGCGTCTCTCTATGATGCCCAAAACGTTTTCAATGGTTGACAGGCTGGGGCTCGATATCGATGTTGGCTATGGTATCCTCTTGCTATTGTGCACACCCCCTTTTGTACTGAAAGTTTGTTGAATGACCATTGGAATTCTTGTGAAAATGAAGTGTACACCCCTCCTTTTCACAACAGTGCACGCGCTCACGCACACACACACACACGCACGCACGCACGCACGCACACACACACACACACACACACACACACCCCCTTTCTCAAAAAGCTGTATCCGCCCCTGAGCAACACATGTTTGTCGTAAGCGACGACGAGGTCGGGTGGTCGACTGGGTTGATGCATGTCATCGTATCCCAATTGCGTCGATCGATGCTTATCATGTCAATCATGGGATTGTCCGATTCAGACTCCATTACTGACAGACCGCCATATAGATGGAACATTGCTGAGTGGGACGTTAACCAACAAATAACAAGCAATAAAGTGACAATTATTCTAGTTTATTCCAGTTCAGACGATTTGATTCTGTTTAGCATGGAGATGAGCTCCATGGAGATAATTTTAATCATGTGACCCGTAACTCGTACTGTAGTTGCCTCATGAATGTCTGGAGCAATTTCAGCTAAATTTCGTAGAGCCTTGTTTCGGACTGTCCTCTTGTCGTTGACCAGGTGCGCCCTTGATCGTCAACAGTTTGGTTTTGTAGGTAGCCTGTTAATTATAGACTGTGAAATATTGAATACGCATTACTCACTCCAAAGGTCCGGGTTAGAATATTGCCTTCAGTAACCCATGCTTGCCGTAAGAGGCGACTAACGGGGTCGGGTGGTCAGGCTCGCTGGCTTGGTTAACACGTCATCGTTTCCCAATTGCGCAGATCGCTGCTCATGCTGTTGATCACTGGATTGTCTGGTCCAGACTCGATTATTTACAGACCGCCGCCATATAGCTAGAATATTGCTGACTGCGGCGTAAACCTAAACTCACTCACTCACTGTCACTTTACAGCATGCCAGTAGTCTCTGGACGCTCCGCGTGTAGCAGACACCACCTGGCTTGCTCAGACACAGTAACTAATAAAAGCAAGTAAACCAAAGACAGTTAAAACGATCGGTAGTAACACCGGTCCACAGGCACTGATCCAACGTCCTTAAAAGTCATGAATACACAATGCCATTGTGGTCAAATGTAACGTTATATACTTTCTCATTTAAGGACAGATTCTAGTACTTTAGGGGACGGTGGGGTAGTCTAGTGGTTAAAGCGTCCGCTCGTCACGCCGAAGACCCGGGTTCGAATCCCCACATGGGCACAATGTGTGAAGCCCATTTCTGGTGTCCCCCACCGTGATATTGCTGTAATATTGCTTAAAGCGGCGTAAAATCATACTTACTCACTCACTCTAGTACTTTAGCTCTTTGGGATTCGAATCCACACTCTCGGAGTCAGGCACCTAATCGCCAGCACACGAGCCATCTAACCCACTCAGCCATCGCAGCGTCCACAAAAAATGTCGGACAACTGGTAAACTAGATCACGTACTTTGTGTACCCCTATGACACATTTTATAATTGAGGAAGTATAATCATAAGTTTTATGTGAGTCCATCACTTTGTCTATTCCACACCCATGCACCAGATATCCGTGAATGAGCGTGTCATGTCACACCATTCACCTTTGCTAAAAACACGGAAACAGATGGAACGCATCAAGACAGAAACAAGGATCGGACATCATTTCTGTCACGGATTCAAAAACAATTCAAATGTAACTAACATGTCTACCATAAAACTTTGTGAAAGCTCTGGCGATGTTTTGGATGTGTAAACTTTATCAAACCACTTTCAAGAAGACGTGTTATGGCTGTCTTTGAAATATTTGTAGGAGAATCATGCTTGATTGTAAGTCAGAAGTTGTGAACTGTATAGTCACCAGGTGGTGATGCTCCACTACTGTATAAAGGGAACGTTGTCTGTTGGAAAGCTGGGGTCATCCCGAGCGCTCTTGCCATACTGCCTTGTGAACAGTTTTCGGTCACTCTCAATTGTCATGCCTCATTCTTAGGTTTTACACTGGCAATTTCATCAATAAGGGAATCCGGCATTTCACATGCTGGCAAGCGACCAGTTATCGCCAACACCTGGCTGTGGCGCTTGCACAGACAGCTTCCTGAGTATTTCACACATTGACACATCACACTGTAAGCGATATGCTACGAGAGTTAAAATCAAACTGTCTGTGCAAGCGCTACAGCCAGGTGTTGGCGATGACTGGTCGCTAGCCAGTACTGTTTTCTCGGTAAACCTCAGATGATATTTTCTTTCATTGGTAAATTTGTCCTTAATGTCGGAAGAGCTCTCAATGTAATAAGGGCCAATAAGGTTAAGTAACAAATGCCCCATTATATGTCTGTTTTAAGGAACTAACTTGTCCTTTCATTTACCGTGGAGAATAAGCGGATGATTCGTTTCTGACACTGTAAAGTTGTAAGATTAAGTCCTTCCTCGAGAATCACCACGTCGATCTTCTCTAGTCTCAAATACTTTCTGCGAAAAGAATGAAAGACATCCTTATCCTTGATGGTGTTGAGGGTTGTGGTTAATCTTTGAGACAGAGATTTGGTGGTCTTGTTGGGTTCCCTTCCTCAGTTTACAATATATAGTGTTATACTCATACGTACCTGACGTTGTTTCATAGGTCACTTATATATATATACACGTCCATAAAGTTCGTCCACAAGTCTTTAGCACCCGCGTAAAACAGAAATACGTATACATCTTACATAATGTTTGACTCATGTCTGAAGCAGTACAAGTCTCAATGCATTCCTTAACTGCCTGTAAAAATAGTTACTGCAATCGGTGACAGAAATGAAAACAATAAGAATGATACACATCCCTAACAGAGCTCCACATTGGAACATTCCAGAGGCGATATTCTGGGAAACAACCGTGAATTTTAAAACGTTTCCAAATGCATTTCTGGGATGTTTTTTTCTGATAACGTTTTGAAACGTTGTAATGAAATGCATATGTAACATTCAAAACAGGATATCCAGAACATTTCACGGAAGAATTGTTGGAATGTATTCATATTCATGTCGTGAGCGGACGCGTCAGCTTCATGATAAATCATGTTCAAAGGGAGACAACTTCATTGACCCCCCTGCACGTCAATCTTGCGACAATGGCTGACTTAACTGGGAAAGGGCTGTTTTCTACCAAAACCGTATGCATTGTCGCCGGCGCCAGCAGAGGCATCGGAAGAAGTATCGCTGTCAACTTTGCATCTAAATTTCCGCCAGGATCCCTAGTTATAGCGTTATCGAGGGATGTGGAACAGCTGACAGTGACCAAGACTCTGTCAACGAAAGCAAGTCCCGCTGTTCTGAGCGTGACCCATGTTTTTGACCAGGGGACGCTTGATCAACATAAATACGAAACATTATTCAAAGACTCCCTCCAGGTAGGTGGGCCTCTAGTGGCAAGAGTTCCGCCCGTAACCCCCCACTTCAAATGTATTCTATTTATTAGGATTATTTCGAGGGTTTAGGGTAAGGTTTGGGGTTAGATTTTAGTGTTAGGGTTAGGTAAAGGCTGTCGATAAAAAAAACGTAAGCGGATATTCTCAGGCATATAATGATTAGAAATAAATACGACAGTTACGGGCGGAAATCTTTCCCCTCTAGTAACTTACATGACTTAGATTTCAAACAAAGGCTGACGTTGGTTCACATCAAACATATGAGATAACTGTTAATACACGTGCCACTCACCTTGGCACGAACTCAAAACACACGAGTTCGTAACTGTACGGCAGTACATAAATACACTTGACTTGGGCTTTGTAGGATAGTGACTTTCATGTTAATAGAAAAATATGTTTCTTCCTTTCACAGGAGTGTTTGTTGTAATAAAATGATTAAATAGTCCTGTGGTTCAAGACAGATCGGTAGACGCTTTATGCTTTATTCGGGAATATATACGGCCTTATGGCCCATTTTACAGTTAGTGTATATAATGTGTATATATAATGTCACGTGCGTACAAAATGAAGTATTTGTCTAGTAATAAATAAATATTTGGTAAGAGTTCATCCCATTCCCCAATCCCAAATAATATTTATAAATATACTAGAATTATGAACAAAACTTTTCACAACAAGTACTAGAGAACTCACAAAATGACTAAAAGTCCAAAATTTAAGTTAGGGTTAGGTTTAGGTTTATAGTTAGGTTTATGGTTGGGGGAACGGAAGGAGCTCTTTCTGTTTTGACGGACATGTTTAGCATGTGGAAGATATTTCTCTCTCAGATCTTTATATTTATCACAAACTTATAATACATGAAATTCATCTTCAATAAAGCCCAATTTACAGTTTGTACATTTAATTACATCAATATAGTCTTGTTTATACCCTCTAGAAAAATTGACATTAAAGTTGTGTAGGGAAAGTCTGAATTTATGGCTCTTATCAAATCTTTATTTTCTAATGATGTTAACTATTTCTCTTGTTCTATAGCTGACTTGATCGAATTATAATGACATAAAAATGATGAAGATGAAATACTATTGTGCCAGGTTTGATAATACATATCTTGTAATCTTTGTTTTAATGAAAATAGAAATAAATTTTCATCACCAAAGTCTTGTGAAATCCAAACAAATAATGCCCACAAGTAAAAAGCAACGATCTAACATTTGAAACCCAATTACAACAGGTCTTACCATCATCACCAAGAGTTTTTAATAAATTATAGCATTGATAAGGATATCGTTGTCGTTTCATCTTTTGTGATTTACACCAATATTTAACCACTCTAACTTGGCTGAGAATGAAACGAGGATAACGCCCTGTATCACCTAAAAGGGCCTTATTAGAAGCAAACGTCCCAACCTGTAGAAAGCGTTTAAAATAAGATGATTGGACTTTCTCTACTGCTTCATTATATTTAGTGCCCTATATCTCTGTGCCATACAGCAAAATCGGTGCAATTTTATTATAAAAAATGGAACATGCTGTAGAAAATGGAACATTTACAAGTTCTTTGTAAAAATGTATATAATGAAATAATTGCTTTAGAAGCTTGACATGCTTATTGTTTTGCAAGATACTGTCCATGTTAAGCTAGAATATATAACTAATCCTAAATACTTATAATATGTCTTAATTTCTAAAGGAACATTGTCAAATGCCCAGTGTTCATGTTTAGCAATTTTACCTCCATTTCTAAATACAATCACATTTGTTTTGTGTAAGTTGACTTCTAAACCCCATTTCTTGCAAAAGGACAGTACATTTAATTGTTTCTGCAGGCCATATTAACATTATTTGAAAACGTGACAACATCATCAGCAAAGAGAAGCAACATTAAATCAACAATATCCTGTCTCACAAATACACCATAACTACACTCATTACATACTAACTTCTATTACTACTTCATTAATTAAAAGATAAATAAAGCTGGACTTAATATGCAACCCTGTCTCACACCACTAAAGTAGAAGTGGAAAACCCTTCTGTTCTACTAGATGACGTTAATCCTTTACTGAAGAATGCCTATTTTTAATGACATTAAACAAATTTCCATGATAACATTTGGTAAGCAGTACATACAACAATTTCTTTCTATCCACATAATCAAAAGCTTTTTTAAAATCAATAAACACACTATAAAATCAACCTATCATAATTATTTTGAACACAACACTTTTAATATGAGTAGATTATCAACTGTTGAGTAATTTTGACATTCTGATAAAAGATGATTGACATCTAACCAAAAATTTTGGTGCTTTTCTATAACAGTAGTGACCAATTTACCTGTAACATTGAGAATGGAAATACCTCAGTAATTGTTGGGGTCGGTTTACTTGACTTAAACAAAGGCAAAATCATACCTATATTCCATGAGTCTGGAAAATCCCAAGTATTTTAGATATTATTTAAAATAAGTTTCAAATAAGGTACAATAAAATTTCCTGACATCTTTAAACATTCAGGGGGTATTCCATCTTCACCTGCAGATTTACCACTTTTTAAACTTTTCAGAGCATATTTTATTTCTCTATTGGTTATTTCACCTGACAAAAGATCATCTGTGAAGGCAAATCATTACAATCCTCACAAGAATGTGAATTAAAATACTGGGAAACAAAGCACTCAAAATCATTTACATCAATGTTTTCAGCTTCCGGATTCAACAAATTATTGAAATAATCATACCAAATATCCGGAGACATCGAATAACTTGAAACATTTCCCTGTGTAGCTTTCTTTAACGTCTTCCAAAAACTCTTACAATCTCCACATTCAGCAGACCTCTTTATATCATCAGCTTGGTTGACACATGTCATTGGTTCCCAATTGCGCAGGTCGATGCTCATACTGTTGATCACTGTTGACTCAATTATTTACAGACCGCCGCCATATAGCTGGAATATTGCTGAGTGTGGCATAAAGCTAAACTCACTCACCCTTTATATCATCACGTTTTGGTATTGTAAGAACTCTTCTTTTCACAACATTTTATATAGTATGACCAGAAATTATTGCGAATGTTAGGAACATGTTTCATTGGATTTCTAGTATAAACAACCTTGACCAGCTATCAAGTGCTTGGTTTCATTCAAGAGAGAAAACTCCGTTAATCCTTTTTCATTAGTTTGTGAAGAGTTATCCCCCTTTGTTTACTTGCTAGCAGAGGGCATTTTCAGTGATCCTCAGTATGGATGATTTAGAGAAGAGGAAGTTGATTTTAGAGTATTATAACAAGGACATCAGATCAGCTAAAGCGATTTCAAGTAGAACAAGCATCCCTTTGTCCACTGTTTATCGTGTTTTGAAAAATATTGCAAATGGATATGGCATTGAGCACCAGGGAGGAGCAGGTAGGCCCAGAAAATTGACTGTCGGTGACAGGAGGCGGCTTGGTATTCTTGTTTCTAAAAACAAACGAAGGAGTTTAGAAAACTTAAGGCTGGATATGATTGATAGAGAGACTGTGGCTGTCTGTAAGGAGACAATTAGAACTGAGCTGCATGCAATGGGTTGGCAGAAAAGTCGAGGAATTCCATCACCGATCATGAAACCTGAACAAAAGGAGCGAAGGGTGAACTGGTGCTTACAGCATAGAAATGTTAACTGGGACAATGTGATTTTCTCAGATGAAAGTTCTGTGTGGCTGTTTCCTAATACACTGAAATTCGGGACCAAACAAACTGAAAAACCTTTGTATCAGCGCTTTGTACAGTCCGAAATTTAACGTGTGGGGTGGCATATCTGTGTTAGGGGCAATGCCCCTCTGTGTATTTGAAGGGAATATGAACAGTGAGCAATACATTGATATTCTCGAGGGACATTTACTTCCATCTGCTCACGTGTTCTATGGAAATTTTTGGTTTTTCCAGCAGGACAACGAACCAAAACATTGTTCAAAGCATTCACAGGCCTGGTTTCGGACCCAAAATATGACATTATTAGATTGGCCAAGCTATAGCCCTGACCTAAATCCAATAGAAAATGTCTGGGGACTTATGAAGGAAAGTGTCAATAAAAAAAATCTGACAAATATTGCTGAAATGAAAGAAGAGGTTGTCCGATATTGGGACAGCATGGACCACGACTTTCTAACTTCTTTGATCAGTAGTATTCCCCGCCGCATTGAAGCCTGCATTGCTGCCCATGGTGACTTGACAAAATACTAACTGTTCACCTGTCTTTGAATCTGGAGTTATGTTCTGCTAATATTCACATTTAATACGTGCGCAATGAATGAAAAAAATATAAAAATTTACAATCTTTAAAATCTCAATAATTTCTGGTTGTACTGTATACTCATTTGCCATCCACATACAACTCTACGTTTAAAACACATTTAAATATTCTGAATTTGTTCAAAAGAAAATATTTTTTTCTCATCCTGACTCATGATATTTTGCTTATCTCCCTTTCCTTTTCGAATGGCAGTGGAACACTTGAATACCTTGAAGTTCCCGAAGCGGACGTAAAAATACACTCACCCAAAAGTTACCTCCCTTTTGCCCTTTTCCCGCGCAAACAGTCATGTGACCAGCCTTACTTGTCACTCTCCCTTTTCGCCCAAGCGGATGGTTCGGCGAGCACTGGAGTCCCTTATACGGCATTATATGCTTTTTACTTAGGTCCTATTCTTCAAAATTATATTATATGTAAAAAAATTGTAAAAATTATTTGTATTTGTGTCTTTATTTCATCGTTATGTAACTTTGTTTACATTTCATGAAATCTTGCAGTGTTTGCAGGCACAGGTTATCCGTGGCTGATCCTCACCCCCAGTGCCCTTCGTGCATAAAACCATGTTCTTCCAGCTTGCGCTGTACTTATTGTGTTGATTTATCAAATCCTCAATTTAATCAATATTTGTCATATATATCTATAGACGTGCCATGGAACGGGTGAGGAAGTCATCTCAAGTCACGACT